CCCACCACCCACCCCAAGTTGGCACTACTTAAGAGGCAGCCTTGTAGGACTTTCGAACTTGCAATTAAGAAGCATAACTTCATAGCTCTCAAGAGTTTGTTAACTCTTAGGGCAAATTGCAAAGATAAGTGGGTCAGAAGTTGCAAAAACTTGGGCATCATTAGCTAAAACTTTCTAAACTTTAGGCAAAGTACTACAAGAGCAACTCCTTATGCTGTAACCCCTACACATTAAAAGTACCTCCAACCAATCTTCCCATTCCTACTCAACCATTACAAAAATATAAAAATAATTTTCCACATTCGATAAAACATAACCAATTTATTTTCTTTCATTCCGAATAGCCACTGTCTAAGGTTACTCTTGAATTAGCTTTGTTCAGAGTTACATGATTGTCTATATCTTAAAATGCATCACGTACACTAAATAACCAGAACCCCATCATTTCCTCGATGTAATTGCACTATAATAACCAGACACGAGACAATTACGAATACCTACTAAGAGCCCGTTTGGTTCAGTCGATTGTAGATAGCTAATAAGCTTGAAATGCTGAAAAGCATTTTTAAGTGTTGAAATTGATTTTAAAAATAAGCAGCTACATGTTCAGCTAGAAGTGTTGTAATAAGCAGTCGACATGTTTGGTTTAAAAATGCTGATAAGTTGTTTTTTTGTTAAAACAACTAAAATACCCCTAAAGTTTCCACAAAATATAGCGAATTATAAAATATTATTAAGGATAAAATAGCAAAAGTCATGGACAAACTAAAAGAGCTTGTAAGCTCAAAAGCCATAAGTTAGGGGTGACCAACTTATGACTTTTGGCTGATTTTGGCTTATAAGCACCTTGGATGTTTACCAAACATGTAGATAATCCAAAAGATGCTTAAACCAGTTTCATCCGCTTATAAACTTAGCCAAACACCCTCCAAAAACTAACCTGCACGTTAGCATTTCAACTAAAATTAACAAGCAGGCAGGCAGGACAAATATTTTGGTATACTATCTATAAAAAGAGAAAAGGTACAGCAACTACCTCTTGTCTATTAGCTGAGATGCCCCTTTCACCTTCGTATTGCTCCTGCTCCTCGTCTTCTTCTTCTTCTTCCTCCTCGCTTTCTTCTTCTTCCTCCTCGCTTTCTTCTTCTTCCTCCTCGCTTTCTTCTTCTTCCTCCTCCTCTTCCTCCACCTTTTCAAGTTCCTGATTGTCAAATCCTACCCAATCACTTTGAGCCACACCTCGTCTCTGCTGCTCATCCCTAATTTTTTTAACAAGCATTGCCTCTTCTGACCGCCTCATCAGAGTCTCAGACCATCGTTCCCCTGGCCTTGCCATGCTCCTCCCACTTGGATCTTGGAACTTCCCAACATACTCATGGTGCAAATATGGATCTCGTTCCCTCATTGCGTCCTCTGAAAAGTACTGTCCATCGTTTACTAATTTGTCTAGATATGCTCGCCGTCTGTTCTTAATCTTAACTGACCTGGACTTCAAATCTTCTTGTGTTGGGCTAATAACACTTCGCAGATGATTCAGATGCCAATTGGTTTCATAATCATTTTTTAACGCTTCAAATTCATTAAGATCATCTGATGTTAACTGCGATCCATAACGTTCTGAGATTCCAAGAATAAAAAAAGATATATTTAGAAATACATGTTAATGGTGTTTATAATGTTCTTTATTCAGAAAAATAATGTTGTATTGGGAAAAAACTGAGTCTGAATATTGAAGATGACGTGTCATGACACGTGGACTGGT